TGGCTGATAACGTTTGAATGCGGTGGTAAAAATCAAAGAGTTGGTGTCCGTCCACAAACACTCTGAACCTCGGGTGCTCACAGAGAATTTCCACCTGCAAGAAACACAGTTAACAATCTCAGTTCACAATACCAGAGCCCTGTGCTGATAAAAAGAAAAGGATGGGTGAGAGCGAGAAAAGCAGATACCTCACGGGTGGTTCTCAAACCTTAGCTTTTGTGTCCTGCTGAGATGGAACTGAGCCATAGCTGACCCTCCAGTGGATTTTCAGAGGCAATAAATCTCATGGGAGGAGACTGTCCCTCTTCATCCCAGAGCAGCTGGTGGTTTCGAACCTTCTACCTCTGGGTTGGCAGCCCAACTCTCTACCACTAGGCCACCAGGGATCCTTAAATATTAAAGTGCCCTGAAGCCCAGGGAGATGGGGCCCCAAATTGTGAAACTCAATGGTCTAGGGAGCCCTGGTGCCTTAGTTGTTAAGCATTTTTCAGTTTGAAAGGCTGACAGTTTGAATTTATTAGCTGTGACAGGAATATCCCGCACTCTGCTTCCAGAAAGCCTTAAAAGCCTTGGAAATAATACAATGCGGTTTGACTCTGTCCTGCGGGGTGTCTACAAGGAGGACCCCACTCAAAAGCAACCAGAGTTTGTAGCCCAGGAATGCACGTGCCTTTCCATCAAGCACCAAGGGGTACTGCCACTGCTCGAGTCTGAACACACTTGGACAATCTACTGCGTATCATTAAAGACTTAAACACGCATACACTTCCACCACTTCTCCCGCCTCGATGCCTTCCAGAGGGGATGTAAAATCGCGTAGATTTACTTATGTGACGCTTAATTCCCTCACCCCTCTCAGAGGGGCCCTTTACGAAGCAGAAATGGCACCCATTCACAGCATGTAATAACAGCGTCGGCGCTCAAACATGGTAAACATGAATACAGGCCAGGCGGGCTACACGGTAATTACCACAGGGCCAAACGTGTGTCATTAACAAGGCTATACGTGTCATTAACAAGGCTGCGTTAAGCCAACAGAAATACTGATTTTCTACGGTAAGAGTTTTTCCCTCTCCTCTTCCTTAACCTAAGTAATCCACCAGAGAGTCTAATGATTACTTCTGTGGTATATATTTATTAAAAGCATTGACAGTCACCATGTAAGAAGAGACTCCACATGTAATATTAGTCACTTTTAATTCATATGATTACTAAAATTGTATCCCCAACAAGGGCCTATTCTGTGTCAGTTTTGTTGAGGGGGAAGCTTTTACACTGTCCTGGCGGTCAGAGGTCAGGTTATTCACAGGTTGGGAACCATGCATTAAAATTCATCATTAACTGTCACAGCCAAAAAAAAAAAATTTATGGGGAAGATTACCATGGGATGGGTGGGGTGCACTAATGGGTTTAAGGAACACTATGATTGTTGTTGTTATGTGCCATCAAGACACTTGTGACTCGTAGCGACCCTATGTATAACAGCCCTGAACCCTGCTCTATCCTGTGCCAACCTTATTTTCTTTGACACACCTACCCCCATTACCCCAGTTACTGAGTCAATCCATCTCATTCAGGGTCTTCTTCTCTTGTGCTGTCCCTCCCTCCTCCCAAGAATGATGTCCTTTTCCAAGGACTGTGATTAGAAGGACAAAAATCCCAACTCTGTCATGGATGTGCTTAAGTAATCCTGGGAAGGCCACGGCCTTGGCCCCTTCTCTCAGACTGTATGATAGGAAAGGAATAATTGTTTCTTCCTAAGGCTTTTGTAATCTTCAGATGAACAGCAACAGACTGAGTATAATTCGGCTTTACAAGGCTTATATGCAATACAGAACCCATGAACGAGTTGGGCTGTCATTCCTAGGATATATATGTTAGTGAGATGTGATGAAGACAGCTCCATTGACGTTCAGCAAACCTGATCTGAACACATGGCTACAGCGAACCTGTTTTTGGCACTGTCCTTCATGGCAGAAGTTCGAGCCATGCTTCCTGCCCCACTAGACAGTAAAGCACAAATCTGACCTCAAGCAGACACGGGAAGGAAGTCAACTGGCCAGTCTGTGACCATGAAATAGACTCCAGGCCAGTCAATTCAGAGAGAAAAACAACTATAGGCTCATGACTTTATTCACAAAAAGAACAAAGAAAAGGAAAAAACCCATCATAACCCTCTTTAAATGTCACAGCTAATAAAATGTGTTGTCGTGTGTCATCAAGTCAGAACTGACTCATAGCTGACCCTGCAGGGGGTTTTCAGAGGCAGTAAATCACATGGGAGGAGACTGCCCATTTTTTCTCCAACGGAGCAGCTGGTGGATTTGAACTATATGCCTTTGCGTTGGCAACCTAGTCCCTTACCACTGAGCCCCAGAGCTTCCTGTTCAGTGCTACCTGAAGGCTAAGCAAAGAAAAGAAAAAGAAAATCCTCGATGATGATTCATATGTATTAACCAATCTGGGGCGAGGTACCTACCAGATAGGGAGCTCTGACAGGTTAGTTAGTGGCAAGGAGTTTCCCTGCAATTCCAAAGGCACGCGGTTCTAATCCAGCAGTTGCTCCATGGGACAAAGCTGGGGCAATCTCCTCCTGTGTGATTTACTGCCTCTGAAAACCCACTGGAGGGTCACTGATGAGTTCTTTCTGACTTGACAGTACATAACAGCATTGTCTACCATACAGGACCCTGGCTGGAACAAAATGGTTTAACCAAGCAGTAAACTTCAATGCTAGTGGCTGGAATCGACCAAGCCGTGGCTACAGAGGAAAGGCCTGGTGATCAAGGCTTCCATCAAGATTATATCAAGAAAACCCCAAGAAGCAGTGTGACTCTTTAACAAAGGGGGTCAGAACTTATTTACAAGTATCTTATTAGATGCCCACTACTGTGTGAGAGAGCTCTGGTAGCCTAGTGGCAAGAAGCTGCACTGCAATCCCGAAGGTACGTGGTTTGAATCCACTAGGCGCTCTGTGGGAGAAGGATGGGCAATCTCCTCCCATGCGATTAACTGCCTCTGAACAACACTCTGGAGGGTGAGCTCTGGGCCAGTTCAGATGGTACATAACAACACCACCATTCTGTTGAGTATTGAGCTCTGGTGGCCCAGGGGTAAGAAACTACACTGTAATCCCAAAGACACTCGGTTCAAATCCACAGCTGCTCCTTGGGAGGAGGATGGGCAGTCTCTTCCCATGCAATTCACTCCCTCTGAAAACCTGCTCGAGGGTCAGCTCTGGGTCAGATCCAACTTGACGGTACACAACTACAATGCTGTGTTGGGCACTACACACAAAAAAGCACTGCCCCTTAACAACCTGGGCGTGTAGAGAAGGGTTGATGGTTAAGAAGGGTTAAATCAACTCAATTCATCGCTGTCCAGGCAGTTTCTGTGAATTCCAAAAACAGAGATGGCCCATCTTTTTTCCTATATGGCCGCCGGCAGGTTTGAACTGTCAGAGACTCAGAGACTTTGGGATGTGCTATGGAATATGTCACCAGAGCTCCCTCTTTATTAAATATGTAAATAAATTAGAGCTAAGAGCTACAGTGGCAGTATCAATTCATATCAGCATACAGCGCTCTTGTAATCGTTTCCCCCCTTCCCTCCTTCTGTCACTGTCGTGTGACAAATTTCCTGGACATGCAGAAATTCTGGCTGCTTGAAACGTTCTTGGCAAGCTCATCACCCTGCCCGTTCGGGGCTGGCACACTTAAGACACTCACCCTGAATGGCTGGTCCGGGATGAATGGAAAGTAGGGGATCGCTGATTGCTCCTCGCCCCTCTCGCCAGATATACAGGAGTTTCTGAGGAGCTGGCGGTCTGTGAACACGGCTTTGAGTTCAATCGCCACATCAGCGGGGGGATCCTCCGAGTCACCACAGGTCAAGCTGATTGCAAAGCTGGAAACACAAACAGTCACTTTACCCAGAACCAGACAGGACATGTTCAAGAACTCAGTGTCTGTCTCCTATTTTTCCTCCAAGTCTGCTTTGCACAGGTTGCTAATCTCTTCATTAGAATTAGGCTAAGGGGAAGTCAATTTACACTCAAATCAGTTTATTATTTTGTTACCTAAAGAGGGCTCCTGTCAAAACTTTGTGGGAGTTGACAACGATTAAAATTAGGGACTTAAACAACCCAAACCACCCACATATTTGTTTCACCATCCATTTCTCAGTTTTCCAAATCAGCTCCAGCTATGAGCCAGGGGATTAACAGTGTGGAAAGTCTGGTGCAGAACCTATAACTACCGCTGAAGATGTTGGTACTTTTTAAACACAATGTTTAAAAGAGCATTAAAAACAAAACAGGAAAATATCCTTTGGCCTCCCCTAAGGGTCAAAGAGAAAATGTGGAGCTATTTTTAGGATCTCTGATATATAAATAGCTGTCTGGAGAAATGATGGCTAGGATTCATACACATTCTTTTCATGGGAACATGGTACTCTGTTGGCACTTCCAACCGGCAACACAGTCCACAAGGCCAGGAAGAGGAGGGGCAAGCTAAACCACAGGCCGCAGTGGGCAGGGCTGGCAACGGGCTGTTGGTTCTGCCCTCCTGCCACCAACGCTGTCTTACCTCTCCGGGTTGAGGTCTACGATGCCCATCACCAACACCTTCTTGCCTGGTCTCATGCCACCTTTAATGTGCCCGCAAAATGGAACTATCTGCAGAGGATTAGAGGAGGAAACAGGAAGTTTAAGTTTAAGAGCCTGCCTGAGAGGAGAAAAACCCTCCGAATTCATTAGAAAATGCAAGGAGACAGGAAGAGAACAGGGACAGAGAGTAGAAGAGCAAAATCACTTACCAACCGTGGGAAGTACACCTCCGCTTGAACTGGAGAGCCCAGGGAGTTGTTTAAATGCCCATCGTCTAGTTTCTAAAAAGAGAAGCATAGATTCGCTTTCCATACGCTCTTCTTTTCGGGGTGGGGAAGAACCTAGACAAATCTGGAAGAATCCAACCACCCTGCACAGGCACACAAGCACGGATCGCAGATGCCGCCTCCTCGCAGTCAAGGAAATAACCACATAAGCACCCCCCACGTCTCCAAGAACAAAAGCTGTCCTTTCCCCTCTGCTATCTAAGTCGGTGAAGGTTCCCAGCCTCTCCAAGCGCAGACAAAAATCAAGGTCGGGGCCCAGCTGGGAGCCAGAACTCCCGGCCAGAGGAAGGCAGGCCCCTCTCCAAGCGCAAACGCGCCTGGAACCTCTGTGGCCCGGGCCTGTTGTCCGGGACCCCGCAGGAGTGGCCGCCACACTCAACTTCTCCGGGGAGCCTGCGGCGCAGACCCATTTCCAAGGGGGAATCCCCGGGACGTCGCGGGCGGACGCGTGGCGCGCGCCCAGGGCACCCTCACACGCGCGCACACTCACACACGTGCAGCGCGCACACCTGGCCGCGGCTGCAGGGCATGGAGGGCTGTGGTTACCCCCATCTCTGCCGCCGGCTCCCCGCTACACCACCCTCCCCGTGCCGGCAGCCCCCCGCTCGGGTGCAGGGACCCCCTCCTGCCCGCACACGGGCTGCACCCCACCGCGCCTGCTAACAGGTACTGCAGCCGCCTCCCCACGCGGGGCGCCGGCCCGGCCTGCAGCCTCCTCTCCGCCCCGGCCCGGGCTGCAGCCGGCGGGAC